AATGGCAGAGTCTTCATCATCTCTTTCATCGTGACTTCTTCTTCAGAACTCTCCTCACTCTCTGCTATCAGAATCTTCTTTTTTTTCTTCTTCTTCTTCTTCTTCTCTTCCTTCTTTGTTTCTCTCCCTTTACCAGAGCTACCATCCTCTACAACCAGAGCAAGCGGACCACCATAGTTCTTCTTCATTTGAAGTACTTGAGGCTCTTGACTTTTGAGAGAACCAAATAAGTCAGCCAAAGTCCATACTTCTAAATCCAAGGTGGCCTTCATTGACATGGTTAAATGCATCCATTCGATTCCAAGGCTCTTCAAGAACAGAGAGTTGTTGTCCTCTGCAGTTGTCATCACTCCATACCTTTTGTAATTGCTAATTAAGGTATTGAACCTGGAGTATGTGTCTGATAGGGATTCACCCTCCTTAGACTTGAAGCTATGATATTCATCAATGCAAATGGCTCGATTGTTCTTGAGAGTCTTCTTCCCTCCTTCGATCTGTTTCTCCAATTCTGCCCAAATGTCCATAGACAAATTGCAGTGATCAATACATTTGAAGACCTCATGAGGTATAGCCATGATTAGCAGCCTTTTGCATTTGCTTCCCAGTTCAATCAATACCTTGTCTTCATTGCTCCAGTTAGCAATAGGTCTTGGCTCATAATGCTCAGGAACTTCAGGGGTTGTACCAGTAGCTGGAACTCTTGGAATCAAATTCATTGGCACATATGGAGGTTTATAGAGAAATTCACAAATTCTGGGGTGAATTCCCTCCAGAAAAGTTGATCATGCGCACTTTCCATTGCGGATATTCCTCACGGATAAGCGTGGGAGGCTTTGATTGAGATCCAGTACTCATGAACGAGGYATTAACCAAGTTCGCCATTGAAATTTGAAGAGTAAAAATAAGAACAAGATGAAACTGATTTAATAGTGAGTGAAACAGGGTAATCTGAAAAAAACTGGTGTTCTAGAAAACAAAGATTAATACCAAAAGCAGAATTAATCGATAAAGAATTCAATTCCCGCTCTGATACCAATTGTTGGATCTGAAATTCAACTTTGATATTGATCTAATACTCTAGATAAGCTTTAAAAACAATTGAAGTGCAGCGGAAACATTAATAAGAGCAAAACAGAGTAAATACACCAAGAACACACAGTCTAAATGAGGAAGAAGATGAATGCAGGAGAATTGCTTCAAAGGTTTTTCAATCAATTCAATTGAAAATTTGACGATTACAATACAGGAAGCACCACCAATTACAAAGGTCTTATCCGCTATTTATACTAGATCCTAACGACCTTACTGACAAGATCTTGACACGTGAATTCATCTAAGCCGTCCAAATAAAGTCGATTATTCCCTAGACACGTGAGAAGCACATGCGGCTAACAACCTTCATGAACTGATGGAACAGAAACTTCATAGAAGATGAAATCCGCAGACCCTCTATGAGCCATCTCAGAGGCTCTGCTGTAATTGACTTGCATGTTCTATATTACAGAGGACTATTTTCCAGAACCTCTGTGAAGCATACCAGAGGTTCTGCCACTCTTAACTTGATCGATCAAACGGCTTCTGTCGTTAGTCCTCTGTGGTCTTCTGTGGAGTTAACCTTCTGTCAAGACTTGCAGTATACTTTTTCTATACTTTTACAAAATAGGAAGAATTGAGCTAACACTTACAAATACTAGCTAATGGAATACAATGGAAGAAAAGATGAAGTAATGGATTAAGGGATGGAGGGATGAGGAAGAAGGCACCCCAAGCCTTCCTTTTATACAAAAAGGGGTCACTAGAAGACAAAAACACAAGACTTGGCGGCTAAGGGGCTATTTACTAGGCGCTGATCGGTCAGCAATGCTGACTCGGTCAGCAGTCAGTTTGTTTACCAAATTACCTCTCTGACCGGAAGCTGACCGAGACGCTGACCGAGTGCTGACCGAGACCGCACGAAAATCTTGCTTACCCGAGTCAGATTTCATCATTCCATGCTTGCCCCTTTCACATGATTAGGTTTTCATCGATCATTCCTGTCGCTCCTCCCCTCTCCCCCATCGTTCCTTTCCTCCTCCCTGTCTCTCCCGACTCTCGACGCTCCTCACCCTCCCTCATAGTCGCTCGCCCTTCATCCTTGGTAATCGATTTGGCAATTCTATTTTGAAGGTGTTTTCTGTATTGTCGCTGCACAGTTCTGCCTCTAGCTGACCCACCATGGCAAGGCAACCCCATATGAAGAAAACATGGTGGTCATTTGAAAAAGAAGTATGAAGTAGTAGGGAAATGATTAGGACTACAAATGAAGGGAGAGAAGGAGCATCTAATTAAGGAGGTGTAGGCAATGGAACCACAGTAGTTAGAGAGAGATGGGACACCAGGAGGTCTAAAAACTTGTACCTAGCCAAACTAGGTGGCATCTATATATCATGACACCTAACTCTAACCCTAAAGGCCTAAACCTGTGGAACCTACACTCTACTATAAACAAATTGTTTAGGACCTTACCTTACCTTTTATATATATATATATATATATATCCAACAACTCAAGAACATTGGCAATATTCGCAATTTATTTTGGTATTAACGTTTCATATCTCGTTTGTATTTAAGTATGAACGACTATTAATATATTTTTCTATTTAATTTGAAGTATGAAAATTATATTTTGTTGTCTTATTTGACAGTTAACATATGAAAAGAAGTAAATTGGTATTATTTTTATTGGTAAACATTTATTTAAAATATACACTTTTTTTTCTTCCATTAAACTATTAATAACAAAAATAATCATATATTATTCAATATATAATTACAAATAGGGTTATAATGGTCATTATATTTTTGGTAAGCACTTACCAAAAACATTTGGTAAACATTTTTACCCGGGACAGCACTTACCGGTATAGCACTTACCCGGGTCAGTACTCTTACCCGGACAACACTTACCCGGTATGATTTGGTAAACAACCCCTAAGTCTCCAAAAGTTAGTTACATGGCAAGAAAAAAGTAACTAAAAAGTACAAAGGCCTAACCAAAGTCTAAACATCAGATTTTTAACTAAAACCCCAACTTTTACAGCTGTCTTCCACTATCCAAAAAGTCAGCGTCTTATCCATTAAGCCCTCCAAAAAGCTGCGCATGAATCAGATCGACGCTGCACCAATGCTGTAGCATCTGCTGTTTTCACAAAAATTCTCAATTAGCTTTATCTAAGCATACCAACAAGTCAACCTTGGTTTTGCATCTTTCTTTGAAATTAGGTACTTGATGGCTGAGTGATCGGTATGCACAATTACCTTTGTTCCCATCAAGTAAGATCTAAATCTTTCAAAAGCAAAAACTATGGCCAATAATTCTTTCTCAGTTGTGATGTAATTAATTTGTGTCTCATTCAAAATCTTACTTGCGTAGTAAATTGAATGAAACACCTTGTCCTTCCTTTGTCCTAATACAGCACCTACCGCCCAATCACTCGCGTCACACATGATCTCAAAAGGTTTGTTCCAATCCGGGGCAACTACCACTGGTGCGGTAACCAAAGCTTTTTTTCAAAGTTTTGAATGCATTTCTACATTCATCATTAAAATTGAATTTTTGGTCATGTTGTAGGAGTAAACAAAGAGCTTTTGAAATTTTAGAAAAATCTTTGATAAACCTTCTATAAAATCCGACATGACCCTAAAAGCTTCTAATTCCCTTAACCGTGGTAGGTTCGGGTAGTTTTTCAATTACTTCAAGTTTTGCCTTATCTACCTCAACCCCTCTTTTTGAAATCAAGTGTCCAAGAACAATTCATTCTTTGACCATGAAATGACATTTCTCCCAATTGAGGACCAAGTCTGTTTCCTCACACCTTTCTAAGCTCTTTTTCAAATTATTTAAACAATTATCAAATGATGAACCATACACAGAAAAATCATCCATAAATACTTCAATGGATTTTTCAAGCATATCAGAAAAGATGGATATCATACACCTTTGAAAGGTGGCTGGAGCATTACAAAGTCTAAATGACATTCTTCTGAAAGCAAAGGTGCCATAAGGACAAGTAAAGATGGTTTTCTCTTGATCTTCCGGAGAAATGGCTATTTGATTGTACCCTGAATATCCATCCAAGAAACAATAGTACTCCTTGCCGGCTAACCTATCCAACATTTGGTCAATGAAAGGTAGTGGAAAATGGTCTTTTTGGGTAGCCTTGTTTAGTCTCCTATAGTCCATGCATATTCTCCAACCGGAGACAACTCTAGTAGGGATAAGTTCATTTTCGTCATTTGTGATGACTGTGAACCCTCCCTTTTTTGGAACACATTGAACCGGACTAACCCAAGAACTACTGGCTATCGGAAAATAATTCTGGCATCTAATCATTTTAGAATCTCCTTTTTGACTACCTCTATCATGACAGGATTTAGCCTTCGTTGAAGTTCTATGGAAGTGAAAATTTTATTTTCTAGGATGATCTTGTGTTGACAAATAGAGGGACTAATCTCTTTAAGGTTAGCAATGGTCCATCCTAGAGCCTTCTTGTGCAATATCAACGTATCCACAAGTTTCTTTTCTTGATGCAATTCTAGGGTAGATGAGATAATGACAGGCAATTTGCCTTCTTTTCCTAGAAAAACATATTTTAGATGGGATGGGAGTTGTTTCAACTCCAAATCAGGTGGTGATTCAATGGACGGGGTGAAGTCTTTTTGCTCATTATTTTCCAGCAGCTCAAATGTTGCAGTATCCACTAGGACAACATCAGTTCCTAATTCCTCTATTTCCTCAACACTTTCCTCTTCTATTTCCTCATCATACTCTCCTTCCAATTTAAGATTTTTCTGAATTCCCTCTTCCAAACACATCTCCTCTATCTCAGATATTCTTGAACACTCTTCCAAGTAATGAGGGTACTTTAGAGAGTTGAAGACATTAAATGTGACTTTTTGGTCTTGAAGTCTCTTGGTCAACTCTCCTTTTTGGACATCTATCAAAGTTCTTTCGGTGGCCAGAAATGGTCTTCCTAAAATAATAGGAATGTCCTTATCCGCCTCAAAATCTAGAATGATAAAGTCCGCCGGAAATATGAACTTGTCTACTTGTACCAAAACATCTTCAATTTTCCTCTTAGGATATGCTATGGACTTGTTTGCCAATTGGAGTGTGACAGTGGTCGGTCTAGCTTCTCCTATGCCTAAGGTGTTGAAAACAGACAAGGGCATAAGGTTAATACTAGCTCCTAAGTCACATAGTGCTTTCCCTATCTTCTTCCCTCCTATTGAACAAGGAATGGTAAAACTCCCTAGATCTTTTAGCTTAGGGGTTATGCTATTGGTCAAAAGCGCACTACATCCTTCGGTTAGGGCTACAGTCACATACTCAGTCAACTTCTTCTTTTTGCTTAAGATGTCCTTCAGAAACTTGGCATAACTAGGCATTTGCTCAATTGCCTCAACAAGCGGAATGTTGAAGTGCAGTTCCTCTTTTTTATTCCTCAACCTTTGGGGGTAAGGAACATAAGGAGGGACCAGTTTTATCACATTCTTACTTGGAGGTGTTGAGCAAGATGGGTCCTGAATGCCTTGGGCCTTTGTGGTGCCCTTTGGAGGTTCAGATGAAATTTTATCATCAAGCTTAGGGGTCTCTAAAACGTCAGTTTCTTTTGACTTTTTTAGAGCATCCTCGGGAAAGAGTAATGGAAAATCTGATATAGGGGGGACAGAAGTGGTGGTCTCCAATGCCTATTTCTCTAAGAGTAGGACCGGTCTTTCTTTGGCAGTAACCAATGCTGTAGCATCAGCTTCTGTCAAAATTGGTGCACTATCTTTGGGCACTTTTTTTTTCAACTCCTTCCCACTCCTAAGGGTCACTACTTTCACATGTTCCTTACCTAGGTCTCTAGGGACCTCTATATTACTGGGCAAGGTACCAAGGGCTCAATTGTTCTGGTTGAGCGCGAATTGACTGACTTGAGTCTCTAAATTCCTGATGGCCGCACTTTGTTGATTTATCAAAGCTTGGTTTTGTGCTTGTGCATGTGCAAAGAGTCCTTTAATCATTGCTTCCAAAGAAGATGATTCTGACTGTGGAGGAGGTTTATTCTGAAAAGGTGGTTGGGAATTCTGAAAACTTTGTTGGTGAGTCTGAGAGTTAGAACTATTTCCATGATGTTGCGGTTGAAAATTAGAAGTTTCTTGTTGTTTATGGACTGGTGGGTTTAAACTGGGATTGTTCCAAGAAAAGTTCGAATGCTGTCTCCAACTGGCATTATATGTGTTGGAATAGGGATTAGCTCGGTTATGAACATAGTTTACTGATTCAGAATTTTGAGGACAATGTTCATATGAGTGTTCCCTGCCACAGCACACACATTGCACATATAGGACTGCTTGGACTGATGTATTAGCAGCTTGCTGTCCTCCCTGACCGGAAGTTAAATTTTTCAACATGTTGGTCATGGAGGTAAGTTGGGCTGTTAATGCAGTATATGCATCTACATCATGTATCCCCGCAGTCTTTTTCTATGACTGAGCACGTGGGTCGGCCCAATGTTCATTGTTTGCCGAAATCTTTTCTAGGATTTCATATCCTTCATTATAGGTCATAGCTGTAAAGGCTCCGCCCGCAGTCGTATCGAGCATTTGTTTTGCCATGGGATTTAACCCATTGTAAAACGTCTCGAATTGAATACAGTACGGAATGCCATGATGTGGGCATTTCCTTAACAACTCTTTGAACCTTTCTCACGCGTCAGGAACAGCCTCATCGTCCATTTGTTTAAAAAGACAAATTTCGTTCCTGGACTTAACGTTCCTTGTTGGTGGGAAATATTTTCGCAAAAAAATTTCCGCCATGTTACTCCACGATGGCACAGAACTCGGAGTTAAAGAATTAAACCATGCTTTTGCCCAATCCCTCAAGGAAAATGGAAATAAAGTGAGCCTTAGAGTGTCATTTGACACTCTCGGGATCAAGAAAGCATCTGTGATTTCCATAAAGGATTTTAAATGCGAATGTGAGTCCTCCGAAGGTAATCCGGCAAATTCGCCATATTATCAGTTTGAGTTCAAAATGGAGAGCGGTCATATGTGGCCTAACTATCCCGAAATTTAATTGCTCAAAATCCGGAATAGCATAATCCATGATCCTCTCATTTTTGGAATTTGCCAAACTAATAATTTTTGGAGTTTGTGCTCTTTGGTGCTCATTAGGTTCTGATTATGTGTCCAAAATATTACCATTATGTGGATGTCCTTGTTGAAAGTTCGGGAATTGTGGAATTTGCTCAAAACCCGGCGGTTGGTTTTCCAAATGTGGTATTTCCGGAATAATTGGGGGAGGTAACGCCATGTTCGGAGGGAGTAGAGCAAAAATTGCTCTTTTAGCCCTCCTACGATGGTGAAACGTTCTCTCAATATCAGGATCAAATTCGAAAAATTCCCTGCGTTGTGACCGTGGCATACACCACTTTAAAAACGATTCTGATGGTACTAGAAAATCAATTTTTTTAATTTACTCAAAATGAAACTTTTAGCGAAGATATCCTCGGCAGCGGCGCCAAAAACCTGGTCGATTATATTTCTCACCTTTAGACTAATGAAATTAGGCTACAAAGCAAGTATACAATRCGGCCCAACGTCGTCTTTCCAAGTAATAAAGCGGTACAAGTACCGGATTATCGTCCACAGAGATTGTAGCCAAAGTTAGATTAGAGTCCAATGAAAGAGATGATTTCAGAAGACGATGTTGAAGACTTTTGCTTGATTGTAAGGTGAATTAAAACAGAATACAAAATATATAAAAGAAGCAAGGGTGTAAGACTTAAGATGAGACCCAAACACAAATTCCAGCAGCCAATGCTATAGGAATGCTACAGCAAGCAATGTTTCGAAACTAAGTTCCAYCATCTATTTTGAAGGCATTCCTCTCGGACTTCACCATTGCACTATCTTATAGCTTTCCACCCATATCTCTATACGGTGTCCGGACCGGGGATAGTGACACAATGGTGTTTTCAAAATATATGTATAAACAAATCTCTTTGTTAAAAATCACTCTCTCGAGTCGATTCCCATATCATTCGAGTTGGCGTGTTCTTGATAGTTCATCTCTGAATCTATCACACTTTGACATTTTTGAAGAGCGACCAACCTGTCGGGAGCTAAGTTTGAAAAACATAAATGACAAGTCTCCTTGTCGGCAACTTTCTCAAATCTACCTCTTATGTCATCCAAGTTGACGTGCTTATTAATGGCTTATCTCTAAGTGCATCGCACTTTAACACTTTCGAAGTGATCAACCCGTCAAGAAGTGTGCTTGGTTTTATAAAAACTCGAATGAAACAATGGAACGTCGTTTACGAAAACACTTAGCTACTTTCGTTTGGTTTGAAAATCTCACCTTTCCGTCTCACACCCAAGCTATACAAGCTTAGCTACTCATAACGGAAAGTAAAAAATAAATGACGGAAAATAAAGACATAAACGTAAATTGCATAAAGTAAATGACGAGAAAATAAATGACGGAAATGTAAATGACGAGAAAATAAATAACGGGAATGTAAATGACGATAATGTAAATTGCGGAAAATAAATGACGGAAATGTAAATGACAATAATCGTAAAGAAACGTAAAATCAAGAGCGAAAAATAAAAGACGAGAATATAAATGAAGAAAAAGATGAAGAACTTAAAAGTTTAATAAAAACCACCTTTGGAGAGGGTTTACAAATACTAGCTAATGGAATACAATGGAAGAAAAGATGAAGTAATGGATTAAGGGATGGAGGGATGAGGAAGAAGGCACCCCAAGCCTTCCTTTTATACAAAAAGGGGTCACTAGAAGGCAAAAACACAAGACTTGGAGGCTAAGTCTCCAAAAGTTAGTTACATGACAACAAAAGAGTAACTAAAAAGTACAAAGGGCTAACCAAAGTCTAAACATCATATTTTTAACTAAAAACCCAGCTTTTACAGCTGTCTTCCATTATCCAAAAAGTCAGCGTCTTATCCATTAAGCCCTCCAAAAAGCTACGCATGAATCAGATCGACGCTGCACCAATGCTGTAGCATCTGCTGTTTTCACAAAAATTCTCTATTAGCTTTATCCAAGCATACCACCAAGTCAACCACAATATTTAGCTTCATAATAACAAATGTATACAGAAATAAATAAAAATGACTCAAAGTGGGAATAAAAAGAAATTATTATAACTAAAAAGACGTAAAATGGGTGCTTTATGTGTTAAATTCTCAACACATATCAACACGCTTTGTCCGTATTTCACACTCATCGGCCATCACCCGGATACCAATCTCGGATAAACACTTATAATTAGTCGCGATTTGTGTTTTTCCCGCATCCTAATCCGGACACTGCTTTGTCCGGATTTGCTTCCTCGGTAGCGGCTTAGTCTTTCTCGGTAAATACTTAGTCGCGAGCAGCATACCTCAGATATCCTCGCATGCCCCTTTGTTTGGATTAGGCTCACCCGGAACTGCCTTGGTTGCGACTTGTCCGGATTGCTTGCATTTCTTGGCCAAGCGATTTTCTTTCCCCGATAACAAGCTTGACCGGATTACCCATTTCCCGTGTCCGAGCTTGTCAAGCTCGCTCACTCTCTTGTCCGTACTTGGTTATCCTCGGCCAGCGAACATTCTTTCCAGTGTTTTAAATGGATCAAAGTTCTTAATGCTACTCAAGGCTATCCCGGTCCTATATATAAATGTTTTAAAAACTATGAAGAAGCCATTTCTTTTGCCAGACAGCGTTTAGGAAAAAAAAAAACTTTTTCGTTTCTCCTTCCCTAAAAAATTGTACGTAACCCCCTCTAAACTTTTCAGCTTCTAAAGATCCTAGCTATACTCATACCATATTTTGTGATCATTGTGAAATTATGTCTAGAAATTTTAAAATCATCAATGATGACAATAAGCAGCTCAAAAAACGAGAAACTTGTTCTTCAAAAACAAGTCTCGATGTTTTGAGAGACAAATTCTTTCTTTTTCTCTCAATCAGAACAAAGGCTCATCTTCTGGCCCTATACAGAAGATTAATATGGATGGACATTCTCCAACGAATGTCAATAAAGGTACCATTGAACTTAAAAAATCAGTGGCTAGTGAGCTCCACTGGTGGTTGGTAAAGACTTATAAAATTCGGAGATGACTATAGGATTTCTCAAATCCCAAGAGACACAGACGACTCTTGATTCTTCTACTCAAAACCCCCAAAATACAGACATCTGGGATTTTCTTGGAGAACCTAGAAAACATTTTGATTTTCATGTTAAATACAACCCAACTCCTTCAACTCTTGATCCTTCACCTTCTTATACTAAAACAGATATATTCGTTCATACCCAATACCAAGAATCTCATCATTTATACTTCATCCAAACTTGACAAGCCGTTATAGACCAGTTTGAAAAAACCCAAGACCAAACACAATCGATCTTGACCAAAAACTAAAAAACCAAAAAAATCAAAAGTGAAGGTTAGGAACGAGATCAATAATATTACTCAAGAAGTTATCTGAAATTTTATTCCTCAATATACTGAGGAAATTTTTTCTGAAGACACTATTTTCAAAGATCGTTCAAGCTCTCTAGATCCAGATCAAAAAGATTAATGTTCAGACGATGGCTATTCTTTTGGTTCAATTGTCAGACATAATCTTGATACCTAAAAGACTAACAAACAAGACGAAAGGTAACAAAATTATCAATCAAGAAAAAGACTCGTCATAAAACAGAAAATGAGAAGAAGTTTAGTGTTTGCAGACCCAAAAATAACACGTTGCAGACTGTTTCTCCACGTTACAGAACTATTATTCTAATATTTCAAACTCTTTTAACACTTATGTCATACGTGTTATCTCATATCCATACTTGTCCTCTTTTCCTATGTTTGGATTCCCTATGAAAAGGGTCTTCAATTTTATTTGCGAAGACACAACAACAACATACACAACCACCCCCACACACATAACAACTCTTCACCACCACACAAGTCAAGCCTCTACCAACTCTATAGGTGAAATTCTTTGTGAAAAAACCTCCATCAAATGTTATAGCCTCATCTTCACCATCACCAACTTCTTCCATCCTTTCTCCATCAATTCTCGTCAAGCTTTGTAACAATTTAGCTTAAGGTTTTGTTTTTTGTTCTTTAATATTTGTATTAGTACTTGAAGGGTTTTCCGAAAGGGAAATCCTTATGCTTTTCTTAATGTAATGTTAGATTTGTAGCAATCTTCTTTTGTTTTTTGTATTGTAATCTTTAAATAAAAGTTTGTGTTTAATGTATTTTAATTTGTTATTTTAAAAACTTTTATTTTTAAAGAATCAAAACGTTAATTTTGTTAATTTTGAGTGAACTGGAGCCCGGATGTAAGACCGGAGTGAGCCTTCTTGACATCCATAAGTGCTTTCGGAGAAAGAGATTTCATTAGTAATGTTATTGATTTAATGTTTTTTAAAAGTTTGTATTTGTAAAAGTGTTTGCGTTTATGTGTCAAAAAATTGATTTCCTAATAAACTTGTACATTACTGGGATTGATGTTGGTGACCCGGAGCTACAAACTGAGTTAAGGCCAGAGTGAGCCTGTGTTGTTGTCCATCGATTCTGCCGGAGAAAAAGATCGTATCATATATATATATATACTACCAAAAAACCCATTTTTTCCGGCGGCCATATCCGCCGGAAATCCGCCGGAAATCACTATTTCCGGCGGATATGGCCACCAGAAAAAGTGGCGCCGGTGATTGTTTTTCCAGCGGAAAAACCGCCATATTTTCCCCGTTTCCGGCGGATCACGGCCATCGGAAATTTCTCACCGGTTTATTTATAAAAATATTGATTAAATTAACAAACGGTTAAGTATTTTTTTTTTAAATTTCCCGGCGGAATATTCCGCCGGAAATCTTTTTCGCCAGAAAAAAATCTTTTCTAAAAGAATATATCTTTAATTTTAAGCCGGAAATCCGCCGGAAAAATATATAAATATTAATATTTTAATTTTTTTTAAATATTTTATATTACAAACATTACCGGCGGATAAATCCGCCGGAAAAAATATATAAATATTAATATTTTAAATTTATTTTAAAATTAATATTTAAAACTTGTATTTAAAACCTGTAAATTTGTACAATATTAAAAATGAAAATAAAAAGGCGAAATAAAACTAAATATCATACATTAAAGTGAAACTACAATTATTTCAACCAAACAAAAACTAAATTGTTATAAACAAAACTAAATTGTTTCAAAACAAAAGACAATATTCAATATGGTGGTGGCGGGGGGAAATGTTGAGATTGACTGAGCTGTCTAACCTAAGTAGCCATATCTTGAAGTTGTTTATCATGTTGCTCTTCCCTCTGTCGTCGTCACTCCGCCTCCACCCGCTGTCGCTCCTCCTCCGCGAAACATCGCTCCTCCGCCTCCCGCCATCGCTCC